GTGGATATCGGGTCCCGGTCAAGCAGACAGCAGGCGGGACTAACCTACGATGGTGTACAACTTGCTAGAAGCTCGGTCCATCTCTCGCCAGACCGATTCCTTGAGTGCGAGTGCCAGGTCTACGGAGCTGGCCTCACCATCCATTGACGAAGAAGGTGGAATAGGGAGGAAATAGCCCAACCCATCAATCAGCGACACCTGAGTAAAAGGGGTGAAGGTGACTGCAGGTCTGATGCGTCGCTCCTCTGGTCCTCTTTGAGCGAGCGAAAGGGAGAGGGCGTCGTACAAATCCATCTTGAGCCAGGAACTGAGAAGTAGGCTGCCATCGCCGTACGAAAAAGCTAATTGAGCTTTGGACTTGTCCGCTTGGGCGCAGAGCCAACGCAGTTGGCTCTTCGCATCGGCAAGGCTCAAACTTCGGCTCACTTGATGGACAGCCCTGGCGATCGCGTGCGCTGGTCCATCGAGCACCAGCTCTGGAGTCAGATCGCAAAAGTTGACAAAGCACGTGTTGGGTGTATGATTTGGCGGTAGATTGAGCGCTTTGCGCCAATCGCTCGGAGTGAGGAAGTTGCACCTATCCGGCGAGCAGGATGGCAGCCGTGTCGGAGACGTGCGAGCTCGATAAGTCTGCTGAAGCACGTAAGCACACAGTGCATCGAATGTCGTGATGTACTCTCCCTCATTTGCCCCAGGGTTCGTGGCCAAGCTTTTCAATTCGCTTTGGTGCTTTGCGGAGAAGCGCAGAACTCGGCCTATCACCGGATCGGCTTCGGCAATAGAAGGGGTCTTGTCATCCTCGACTTCTTTGTCCGTATTGTCTGATGATAAGGTCACGCCGTTGCTGCCGGAAGAAAGACTGTCCTGAACAAGCTGATACTGCTGAGGTTGAATCTTCCGAGCATCCTGCACTTCTTCCGGCGAAGCTCGACGTGCCCAATCTGCCATGTACCCCGCAAGGCTCGGCGTATGGGATAGCCGAGGTGGTGCGTCTGATCGACAGAGCTGATTATAAATGTCCCTTAAATCTCTGACTACGCTAAAGAAGCCCACTCCATCCACCACAGCATGAGCTACACGGACAGCCAGGGCAACTCCTCCGCAAGCGAATCGGGTGTGCTGGATGGCAAAAAAGGGATGCTTGGCGAGGTACTCTGGCGTGGGTTCGTAGGGTGACAAGAAATCTTTAGGGAACGATGTGATGATGTAGTCCCCCGACTTTTGGTATGAAGACAAGGCTTGATCGCAATGCGCTTCGATCACCTCTGCGCCGGATCCGAGCGTGGTGATGTAGGGCTGATGATCTTGCTCGTCCTCTCGCAGACGGCCTGAAAAGTGCGGATGATGGTCGAGCAGGGCGCTCATTGCTGTGATTAGGCGTTCCAGAGGAATGAAATCGTCATGCTGGTCTGGCGATGGCTCAAAAACGAAGACGACTTGTATAGGAATGCCCAGTCCCACGTAGTAATCCATGGGACCGAGGGACCATCGTGCGGGATAGCCAGAAGGGGGAGGATGGGCAGCAAAGACGATATGCTTGTTCGTCCGGCGAACAGTAGCATCTCGATGATGAGAGTGCAGAGCTTCGGTCATTGCGAAAGTTGCAAACAGGCCGCTCACGAATGTGGATGCTGCCGATGGGAGGTCAGACAAAGTGGCGGGTGATGTGGAAATATGTGGACACGATGGGACACACGATTCAGTAGCATGCAGATGGGACAGAATGCGGGCTCGGACATCCAGAATCTCTTCATCGATCATCAGGAGGTCTTATACGCGGTCCTCGATCTGTACCTGCACATTCACGATTGACGACGCAGACAGACGTCTCCACAGTCACTAATGCTGAATGCTGAATCAATGGCTGCTGAGTCTTACGAAGCAAAGGTACGGATCAAGGATGGTCAGCTACGGCGGATGCAACTCTCGGTGTTGGTGT